ACACATCTGCGCTGCATTCTCGTAAGGAGCTGCGTGACACTCCATGTAAAGAATGAATGTCTCAGCTTATTTAGTTGTCATGTCTTTGATGGCCATTTAGATGGTTTCAGTGTTTTGCTAATTTACCATATTTGCCGGCGTATAAGACGATTTTTTGGCCCTGAAAAATATGCCTCCAAGTGGGGGGTCGTCTTATACGCCAGGTACACTTCAGATAGACTGCCCATAGTGCTTGCCCCGTGCCATAGTGGCCTCCCGATGCCCGCCCACTTCATTCCACATACCGTTCAGGCATCAGCAGCGCTGCTGGGTGTATGCTCGGCTGTTATGCGATTTTGCTGTTATGCGATTTTACCACACTCGCAAAATCGCACATACGGTAAACAGCATTGCAGTGGATATCCTTGTCATGTGTCTATCATATGTGAGTTTGGATTTCTAAAAATGCAGGTCAGTGGCTGTGTACATTTTGAATTTTTGTAGATATTTCCAGATCGCCCGTTAAGGGTTATGTCAGTGCATGGATGTAACTGCTGTCCTCTGTCTGCACCTCACAGCCTGTCCTGAGGTGTTGTTTGCCAATTACATAGGTGAAAAATTCAATTTCACTGTTATGGCATTTTTCCCCAAAATGAGTAAAATTAATTTCCTATGTTTAAATATTTTTGTTTATTTCCTATAACTTTTGCTCATTTTCCTATTTGATTGTTAATCTTTTAAAATTATTATTGAGCTTTTACAAATGTTTCATTTTGCAGTGTTACAAATATTTATTACCACTTTGCCACTTTTTTAAACCTTGGTTATGATATTTTTCTGTGCAGAAAGTTTTAATTTTATGTGGTCAAATTCATCATTCTTAAGTAACTTAAGAGCTTAAATAACCATGGTTTGGTCCAGTGGATAGACCATTGGCCTGCAGAATGAAAGGTCCCAGGTCCAATTCCGGTCAAGGGCGTGTACCTTGTTTGCAGGCACATCCCCAGTAGGAGGTGTACAGGAGACAGCTGGTCAGTGTTTCTCTCTCATTGATGTATCTAACTCTCTATCCTTCTCCCTTCCTCTCTGTAAAAATATCAATAAAATATATATTTTTTTAAAAAAAATAAATAACTTAATGACAACAGTAACATAGACTTAATATGTGATATCTTTCTTAGAAAGTCTTCCTCTTTGAGATTTATTTTATTCCCACATTATCTTCCCATATTTTATGGTGCTGTGTCTGCATATAAATCTTAGGTTCATTAGAAAGCTATTTTGATGTGAAGACTAGGTATACGACATCATTTGTTTAGGCTACTCAGTTGCCCAACACTGTTGAGTAATACACTTTTCTCTATAGATTTCTATTTTTAAAAAAATACATTTTATTGATTTTTTACAGAGAGGAAGGGAGAGGGATAGAGAGTTAGAAACATCTATGAGAAAGAAACATCGATCAGCTGCCTCCTGCGCTCCCCACTGGGTACATGCCCACAACCAAGGTACATGCCCCCAACTGGAATCGAACCTGAGACCCTTGAGTCCACAGGCCAACACTCTGTCCACTGAGCCAAACCAGTTAGGGCTAAACTTCTATTTCTTACCTCCATTTCTGTTTGCTCCTCCCTGGAGATCTCTGACATTGACTTGTTTACTCATGCTTTGACCTCTGTAGTGTAGCTCATTGTCTGTCCCAAAGTATTGTGTGTGATGATTTAGTGGAATATGCAGGAACATCTTTAAAATTTAGTAGTATTTATTTCAGTGTCAGTAGAAACCTAACTAGGATGTCAAACCTGTGATTTCCCTGAGATGCCTGTTCATGGTGAGGTGAACTGGGGAGCTTTGTGGTGAGCCAGGCGCAGGCATCGTCAGCTTCCGTGGTTGCGTCTGTGTGTACAGGTACAGCATGGGCTCTGTATAGCCCTGGTCTGTATCGCTAGCGTGGATCCCTACATGCTGGCTCTCCTGTGTGTTGTTGTAGGTTTGGTTGGTCATTTTTATTAGCAGCATGGCAAATTTTCACTTTCAGAAGGTGACAGCTATTTGCTAGTGTGCGCCACATGTAGGTATTCGTAATTTTGAATTAGGATCATGACTCTACCTTTATTTTTTCTGAGTCTGACATGGATTCGGGGTTAATAAAAAAACTGTCATTTTGAAAGCCTAAAGGTGAAGGTTGCCTTATAAAGTAAGGTACTAAGGGAGTTATGATTATTTATTTATTTTATATTTTCACTGATTTCAAAGAGAAAGGGAGAGGGAGAGAGAGATAGAAACATCAGTGGTCAGAGAGAATCATTGATGGCTGCCTCCTGCACACCCCCTCTGGGAATCCAGTCTGCAATCCCAGCATGTGCCCTGACCGGGAATTGAACTGAGACCTCCTGATTCATAGATCGATGCTCAACCACTGAGCCACACCATTGGGCATAATTTTATCTTTAATAAGACAAAGTTTATTTAGCAAGTTCGGAGGCAAAACAAGGACCTTTGGAGCTTAGGAGGGAGAAAGGTAAAGGTAAAGCACCTTTGGGAAAGGGAAGGTGTGGGCATGCTCCTGGCAGGGAGAGAGCCAAGGATAGATGGTTGCCATTTGTCTTCATAAAATAAGGACGAAGTAATGACCCATGAGAACGGGCTTTTAGTCTTGTAAACTTGCTGACTGCATAGAAAACAAAAACCAATGTAATGAAGATTTTGAAATCTGAGAGAGTGAAGCTATCTCATTATGAGCAAAATTCCAGTGAGAAACCATCACTCAAGCTTTATATTGAAATGAAACGGCAAACTGTTAAACTTTTGGGAACAACAGGAAAGTCTTCTAAACAGCCTGAAAGCAAGTCCCCATATGACAGGGGAATTACAGTTGGAAAGTCAGTTCATCTGTGGTATTGGATCTGACTGCAGTCTGGAGCTGCCAGGTGGCCCAACGCATAAAAGTTGTGATGACAAGTGACAGCCAAGAGCATATCGGTAAGGTTCTTTTGGTAATTAAGTGCCTTGTCTCCGTATAGCTAGGCCAGGTATTTGGGGCAGCTGGTTGTCCCCCAGGGAAGACGGGGTTGCTGTTGCTCACTGCAAACTGAGGAGTCTCCGATACTTCTAACTGCAATAACCCTTTGTGATTTGACAAACATGAGGGCTTGAATAGACAAGCCCTCGAGGACATGTTCTATCTCATAAACTAGAGGAAATTTTTTAAAAATATGTTGGTGACTTTGTGATAAACAGTAACATAGACACACGTGTGATGTCAGTGATTCCATCAGAAACTTGACCTTCGTATCCAAAGGCAGTCCTATAAATCTCACAAATGAGAGGCTAGTTAAGAGTAGTACCACCCTGGCTGGTTTGGCTCAGTGGATAGAGCGTTGGCCTGTGGACTGGAGCGTCCCGGGTTAAGTTCCGGTCAAAGGCACATGCTTGGATTGCGGGCTCGATCCTCAGTGCGGGGCATGCAGGAGGCAGCTGATCAGTGATTCTCTCTCATCATGGATGTTTCTATTTCTCCCTCCCTCTCCCTTTCTCTCTGAAATCAATAATATATCCTATATAATACAAGTGTGATATGCAAATTGATTGAACGGTGGAACGACCAGTTGGCAGGGGGCGGGGCTGGTGCCGGCAAGCAGGCGGTGCCAGGCCAGCCAAGGCGAGTGCCAGCAGGCAGAGGATGGGGACATCCCTTGAGGGCTCCCGGACTGTGAGAGGGCGCAGTCCTCCCCACCCTCCCCCCTAGTGTACAAATTTTTGTGCACTGGGCCTCTAGCATATATATAAAAAGAGTAGTACCTATGAGTGTCAATGCATCGCCCTGTTCAAGGCAGTGGCCTTCATCCTCCAGCTTTGTGAAGATATGGGCCGGTCCCCTATGCTGGAAACAGGAAGGTCTCCCCTTGACCTGGAACCATGGGATACACACCGGCATGTGGGGGAAAGAATTGTGAAAAGCTTGAACAAAGTATTTTGCATCCCACATTTATAAAGTTAGAGTAAGCTCCATGAGTATGGTGAATGGATAGAAACGCCCCACCGCCTTTAAAAAAATCACCGAGAACATTACTGGGCCTCTAGCATATATATAAAAAGAGTAGTACCTATGAGTGTCAATGCATCGCCCTGTTCAAGGCAGTGGCCTTCATCCTGGATAGAAGGCCACTTTCAAAAGGTCAGACCCTTGATGCCTTCTTGAAACAAAAGTTTGTTGAACCAAAATCACACTTAGTGTTTTGGTTATAGATTCATTTTCAGAATCCAGCTGTGTCAGAGAAGGGTGTTAAATACCAGGTGCTTGAGCTAATAATAAACATGGAAGTTAGCATTATCTGTTTTTAATATAAAATTATTTTAATGCCAGTGTGTTTCTCTTGAATTTTATGTAGCTCCTCATAGTTCTTTGCTTTAAAAAAAGTTTCCAGATGGGGCTTTTCAGAAGTAAATGTATGATGTTTTGTTGTAATCAGTGTTTATTTTTTAATCTAGTTAATTTAAAATGTAACTGCACTTTTGTCTTCATTGTGTTTATTTTCAGGAGTATGTACTTTATACTTTGTCAATGTTACAGGCTTTATATTTAGTGTAGTGAGCGATGCAAGGTTCCTCTTGAGATGAATATAATTAAGTTGAAAAGGTGTCTTTTGTCAAGATAAAAGTTTGTATCCTTTGCCTCTACCCAGAGGTGGTGCCTGATGGCCTTGTGCCTTATTGCTGGTGAGATTCGCTGGTCGTGTGGTTGGTGTCTTCTGGGTTCCTACTGTCTATTTCTCTTGGTGGTTGCTGAGTGTCCTGAGGAAGATACTCAGAGATCAGGAGGCTCTTGTTTCTGCTCAGGCTTTGGCCTGCGAGCGTTAGCACAGGGCGGTAGGCTGTTTGCCTCTTTCCTCTCGGTTCATTAACTGGAAACGTTCTGAGGAAGAGGCTTTTCTTCTATATGTATTTGATTGTTTATGTAACCGGAGTCATGATACATATTTTACTCTATGATTAACATTCAGAGCTATCACTAATTGTGAGAGAATATCGGAAAAACCCAAATCAAGGACAGAGTCCAGGATGTGAAAGACAGAGATGGAGTTTCAGATTGGTGGGAATTAAGGAGAAAGAGTAAGTCCAGTGAGGATCTGGATGGGACCCTAGAACAGGTAGAAATCATCAGTGGGAAATGGGTGAATTTCTAACAAAGTCTGTAGTGTAGTTAGTAATACTGTACCTGGGTTAATTTCTTATGTTTTCCAATTTTACTCGAGTTATGGAGGGGGAATGGGAAAAAGATAGAAGGGATAAGAGAACTCTTGTGATCATTCTGCAACTTTTTTTGGTCTAAAATTAAATATAAAAGTTTCAGCTGAAACCGGTTTGGCTCAGCGGATAGAGCGTCGGCCTACGGACTGAAAGGTCCCAGGTTCGATTCCGGTTAAGGGCATGTACCTGGGTTGCGGGCACATCCCCAGTGGAAGATGTGCAGGAGGCAGCTGGTCGATGTTTCTCTCTCATCGAAGTTTCTAACTCTCTATCTCTCTCCCTTCCTCTCTGTAAAAAATCAATAAAATATATTAAAAAAAATAAAAGTTTCAGAAGTCAGTGGTACAGATATTATAGGTCTGGTAGACCTTGTGGAGATGGCAAAGGAGGCCACCTGTGAGACCCTGGTGGAGGAGGAGGAGGGGGAAGGTCTCCAGGCCCAGGAGTACCCTTCCTGCTCTCTTCCCTCCCTCTCCAGGGGCATTAAGGTAAATGGTCCTCCCTGACCTTCCATCCTCCGTGCCCTCATTGCTGCATAAAGTGTAGCGCACGTGACTTTTGTTCCCACCAGTGTGTCCCACTCCCACTGGTTTCTGCTATAACTGACTCTAGGCTTATGTTATAGATCACTGGGCTTCAAACTCAAAATTCCTGAGAAAGTCTAGTGTTGGATTAGAATTCAATTAAGCTTTTTGATACTTAGTACCTATTTTGATTTGAAAATATTGCAATGGTATGGTTACTCCTTCTATTAGACTACTAGAGGCCCAGTGCACAAAAATTTGTGCACTCGGGAGGGAGGGAGGAGTCCCTCAGCCCGGCCTGTGCCCTCTCGCAGTCTGGGACCCCTCGGGAGATAACGACCTGCTGGCTTAGGCCTGCTCCTGGGTGGCAGAGGGCAGGCCCAATCCCTAGGTGCAGCCCCTAGTCGGGCTCAGAGCAGGGCTGATTGGGGAATTGGGGCGCCGCCCCCTGTCATGCACAGAGCAGGGCAGATCGGGAGGGTGCGATGCCACCCTCAGTCACGTTCAGGGTAGGGCCGATTGGGGGTTGGGGCACCACCCCCTGTCACACTCAAGACAGGGTCAATGGGGCCGTTGCGGTGCCACCCCCTGCCACACACAGAGCAGGGCGGATCAGGGGGTTGGGATGCCGCACCCTGTCACACTCAGGGCCGGGCCGATCAGGGGGTTGAGGAGCTCCCCCCTGTCACAGAGTAGGGCCGATAGGGGAGTTGGGGCACCGTCCCTGTCACACACAGAGCCGCAGGGCGATCAGGGGGTTTGGGCGCTGATCCCGGTGCCGGGAGGCCTTCCGGCTCCGCTGATCCCGGTGCTGGGAGGCATATTACCCTTTTACTATATAGGATAGAGGCCTGGTGCACAGGTGGGGGCTGGCTGGTTTGCCCTGAAGGGTGTCCTGGATCAGGGTGGGGATCCCCACTGGGGTGTCTGGTCAGCCTGGATGAGGGGATGATGGCTGTTTGCAACTGGTCACACACCCTTCAGGGTAGGGGTCCCCCCTGGGGTGCCTGGCCAGTCTGGGTGAGGGGCTGAGGGCTGTTTTCAGGCTGGCAGGTGACTGAAGCTCCCAACCGCTCCTTTTTTTCTTTCTTTTTCTTTTTTTATTCTGGGCCTGCTTTAGCTCTCAGGCTTGGCTCCAGCTCTTAGGCCTTGGCTGCTGAAAGCAGGTATCTGGTTTGTTTGGGTTCTATAATCGAAACACTGTTTTAACTCCAGCTCTGAGATCCCGGCTGGCTGAAAGCAGGTTTCTGGGGTTTTGTTTAGCTTCTATATTTGTAACAATGTTTCAAACTGCAAGCTCAGAGGCCGGCAGCAGCAGGCGGGGAATGTTGGAGTCCTCTGTCACTGAAGCAAGCAAGCCTCATATTCGCTTCAAGCTGCCTGGCTGCTGACTGCCATCTTGGCTGGCAGTTAATTTGCATATCGCCCTGATTAGCCAATGGGAAGGGTAACGGAGTGACACCAATGTGCATGTTACTCTTTTATTAGATAGTATTTTGTTTTACTTAAGGGAAATGTTCATTCACTCACTGTGTAAATATTTATTGAATGCCTACATGTACCAGACATTGAAGCAGTCAATGACAGGGACGTGGTAATGCAAAGCGCATGAGCTCTGAACTATTAGATTAGTGATGATTAAGCTCATCTGTATGTGAAAGTAAATTTAGTGACTTTTGCCAGCATGTACTTTTTTTAAGGTAAAGTGTTGGTTTATTAAATTTCAGATTTTTTTGTAATTATAACAGAGTATACTATTTTAGGAAAATCCGAGGTTTTTAGTTATGATCAAATGATGAAAACACATTAAATTCGGACAAATGGAAATAGAAGGAAAATAAATCCTATATAATAAAAGCATAGTATGCTAAGTGTCTGACTGATTGGTCATCTCTTTAGTCAACTGCTCGACCAGTTGCTATGATGCGCACTGACCACCAGGGGGCAAATACTCCGACTGGTAGGTTAGCTTGCTGCTGGGGTCCAGTGCATCAGGACAAGGCGAGAGGGCGGGACATGCCCTTGAGCCCTCCCACAGTCCCTCCCTGACTGGCCGGCTCCTATTGGTCCCGATTGCAGACCAGGCCAAGGGTCCCCACCTGTGCATGACTTCGTGCACTGGGGCTCTAGTTGTTGATATAAACATACCAACCAGTTCTGTTCATAAATAAAGATAATGACCAGAAATGTGACACTTTTTATCTTTAAGCTTTCCATAGTTCTGAACAAAACTTTGTACTTTTTACTCTAGATTTCTCATTCCCCTCCTTTTTCTTTTAAAAAATATTTTTTATTCATTTCAGAGAGGAAGGGTGGTGAGAGATAGAAACATCTGGAGAGGTAATCATTGATCAGCTGCCTTGTGCATGCCCCCACTTGGGATTGAGCCCACAACCCCAGGAATTGAATGAGCCCTGACCTCCTGTTTCATGGGTTGACACACAACCACTGTGCCACACCGGCTGGGCTCAATGTATAATTTTAAATTAGTGATTACTTGTTTTCCAACAGTCTTTTCATAGGGTATATAATTTTGTTAAAAAGTTTAAGTGTACTAATTTTTCTAAGAATTCATTTATAACATCCTGGACCTTTGACTTTATTTTGTATTAAGTTTACAAAAAATAAAATGTCTATGCTCTATAGTCTGGAACAGTTCTGGGGAGGGGAGGCTTTTTAAAAAAAACATTTTTATTGATTTCAGAGAGGAAGGGAGAGGGAGAGAGAAATAGAAATAACAGTAATGAGCCTTGCTGATTTGGCTCAGTGGATAGAGCATCGGCATGCAGACTCAAGGGTCCCGGGTTTGATTATGGTCAAGGGCACATGCCTGGGTTGCCCCAGTGGCGGGGGGGGGCGGGGGGGGGTAGGAAGCTGCCAATCAGTGATTTCTCTCTCATCATTGATGTTTCTATCTATTCCTTCTCCCTTCCTCTCTGAAGTAAACAAAAATATATTTAAAAAAAATAAGAAATATCAATGATGAGAGAGAATCATTGATCAGCTACCTCCTGCATGCTCCCTTCTGGGAATTGACCTGGCAGCCAGGCATGTGCCCTGACCACAAATCGAACCATGACCTCCTGGTTCATATATTTTAATTATGAGTGTCTGGGCATGGGCCTGTTTTGGTTCTTCTTGCTTGGGGTTCTCTGTACCTCCTAAATTTATATGACTTTTTCCTTTACCAGGTTAGGGAAGTTTTCTGCCATTATTTCTTCAAAGACTTTCTCTATCCCTTTCTGCCTCTTTTGGCACACCTGCTATTCTAATAGTATTACATTCATGTTGTCCCACAGCTCCCTTAAGCTGTCATCCTATTTTTTAATTGTTTTTTCTTTTTGATTCTCTGAGTGATTTTTTTTGGCAAGAAAAACGATTTTAAACATGATAATGTTACATGCAATAAACTCCAGTTATTCAAGAAAAATGATCTTACATATAATATTACATGCAATAAACATCAATATTTCAAGAATAAAGGGACTCAAGTATAATAATATTACCGAAACTGTACTAACATAGAATGATATCACAAAAGTTGTAGGAAATATTAAAAATCTGCAAATAACAGATTTTTAAATAAAAAATATTTAGAATATTTTTCCCTTCGCTGGCTCTATTTTAGTTCATCAGTTTATGTTGTTTATTATATTCGACAAATGAGTGAGGTCATATGATATTTATCTTTTCTCCAACCTGCTCATTTCGCTTAACATGATGTTTTTTGTGTTTTTAAAAAATATCTTATTGATTATTTTACAGAGAGGAAGGGTGAAGGATAGAGAGTTAGAAACATTGATGAGCTAGAAACATCCATCGGCTGCCTCCTGCATACCCCTTAATGGGGTTGTGTCCACAACCAAGGTACATGGCTTTGACTGGAATCGAACCTGGGACCCTCAGTCCGCAGGCTGACACTCTATCCACTGAGCCAAACTGGTTAGGGCAGCATGATTTTTTAAAAGTCTGTTATGTCGGATATGAGTGTTGCTACTTCAGCTTTTTTTTTCCCATTTGCATGAATTTTTTTTCCATCCCTTCACTTTCATCCTGTGTCTGTCTTTTGCTTTGAGGTGGGTCTCTTGTAGACAGCATATACTTGGGTCATGTTTTTGTATCCATTCAGCTACTCTACACCTTTTGATTGGAGCATTTAATCCATTTACATTTAGGTTTATTATTGAGAGGTACCTATTTATAGCCATTTTAATTCTGCATGGCTAGGTTTCTCTCTCTCTTTCTTTTTCTCAGCAGTCCCTTCAGCAGTCCCTTTAGCATTTTTGTAATGCTGGCTTGGTGGGGATGAACTCCTTTAGCCTTTTTTTTTTTTTTCTGGAAAGCTCTT